GTCTACTGAACTTAGACTTAATAGAAATCTTAGAGTGCATACCATATATCAGTGAAAAAGTTAACTTACAAAATTGTACAAATCAGTGCAAAGTCTTGTAGGTCTACGGTCTACTGAGGTCTTGTTAACTTATTAATTCGTGCAAGTGTCTGTTTTCATAACAATTTGTTGCATTTCGGCTGTTTCTTAGTGTTTTCCCCCTTTTTTCAGTTTTGTCATCATTGCCATGAGTCGTTACTAACTAGTCTTGGTTTTTTTTCTTTCACACCCTTATTACAGAGTCTTGTATCACGACCACCAAATCGTCATCCTACTGACCGAGTATGAGATTGATGTCTTAGCCGAGTATCATAGTTGTTTTGACAGTTGCGTATGAGAAGACACATAAATCTGGATACAACTCAAACGAAAGAATCTTCAGTATTCTCAAGAGAAATTGGAAAACATTACGTCCAAGCCAAAGAGTTCTATTTATGAGTTGAGATTCATTTTGTTATATAAATTTTACATTTGGGCATTGTGTCAACATTTTACAGCAATCTTCACATAAAGAATATTAGAACTTCCTCACCTTCCTTACCTCTTCTACCTGAATGCAATAGAAAAGCGAAAAACACGTAAAAAATAGATTGGCGAATTTTCGCATTACTGTAAAAGAACAAACTGTTTCAAAACAAGCTAGAGTGCAAACAATATATTCGTGAAACGCTAATTACTAAATTGTTCAAAATAGTGGCAATTTAAACAAAAGAAAACAATTAGCATAAAATAGTGTAAGTTAGTATTACTAATATTTCACGGGTATATTGTTTGCATTCTACGACCTCATTCTTTTAATTTCTGAAAAGGTATGTAAGGAGGGTTCACAAAGCAAGAGCCAAGTTGGTACTTTTCGTACGGAAAGGGAGGGAAAAAAAGGGAATCTGGGGGCGTAGAAAGTACCTCCAGTCCCCTGCCATATAGTTCAACACTCTGCAGTTCTTAATTATTTTGAATTATTTCACTACCAGTGAAGTAATAATACTTTATAATTTTTGAATCTTTTAAGGGCCCAAATTAAAGAACACATTACAGTCAAACCAGCTCATGCGTTCCTATCGAAGTTCAAAAATTCATTTTATTATTGGCAAAGTTTGATTTCCATCTTGCTTCTTGAAGCTTGAATTAATGAAACAAACATCGCAAATTTGAATAATGGGCTCGAATTAAAAGTTAATTTTTTTAGTTCTTCATATCTAATAGATTCGGGCAAAGCTAAAATCACAATTGTACCTTTTAAAAAAAGCCGGGATTGAAATTCAACGTTCGTTTCGTTAATGCAAGTTTCATAGCAGGATGGAAACTCAAACATCTAATAATAATAAATCTTTGAACCTTGATAGGAACAAATGAGCTGGTTTGACTGTAAACAATATAAAACTAGTCATGAGTGATTGTGAGTCCATTTGACCATGAATAAAAAGAAAAAGAAAATAATTAAGTAAAGAAAATACCCTTGTGAAATGGGGCTAGAATGAAATTCAAGGCAAATACAAAATATAAATACAATGCTAGTAAAAAGTCACTTCACAACTAAGAATAAAAATATAAAAATAAGAAATATATATATATATTAAAAAATATATCGAAATATATCAGGGTTCAATAGAAATAGAAAAATAAACATAAAATGAAAATATAATAATAAAATATGAAAATATAAAAAATAAGAAATAAAAAATAAGTATTTAAAAATAAAAAAATGAAAATATATGAGTATATGAATATAAAACATGAAAACAATAAAATACAAATATAATAATAAAATATAAAAGATATATAAAGAAAATTAAAACATATTAAAATATACAAAATAATAGCTTTGTATGAAAAATATTAAGAAAAAATAGATAGAAAAATATGTGCATATTTTTTGACAGTTATGAGCTAGAATTAATAGCTAGTGATGCAGCAGTGTAGCTAGTGATGAAGCAGCAGCTAGGCCAAAGAGCTCTCTTTTCAAAAATGGAAAAACAGTCATGAGGCACTACAAAATGGATTAATCGAGCTAATTATCAGGAATAACAGAAAGAATATAATTAAGACAACAAAGAGTTGCCTATTTTTGTTTCTGCTGTATATATAAATCAAATCATGCAATTTGTATAGTAATGAACTCTGGGTATAATTTAATTGAGTCAATGCATGTATGTAAGCATGATTGTGTTGACAAGTCATGGAGCATTCCATTCTACAATTGTAAAATATATATATTCTCTTTTCTGATGACAGTATGTATGAGCAAAAAAAATCAAACTATTATTTGACAAAAAAAAAACAGAGCTTTATACCTTTCTTTTTGTAACTTTTATTGCAGTGCTAAATTTATTTGGCACTAAAGAGTCAAATTAAGTACAAAATTTTTTTTTCCAGTGTTATTTGAGAATCTATTTGCTTTTTGGTATTCATTGTATTCATTAAAGTATAGGCAACAACAGCAGAGAAAGCTGTAAAAGTTTCTACCACACATCCACAGGAAGCCCATCAACACTTAAATAAGTGGAAGGAAAAGACTTCTCTTGTCAAAATATATATAAATGAAATATTAAAAAATTAATCAATTATTGTCAGTATACAGTAATATACCAACACCAGGGGTGTCCAGGAATTTCAGAAGGGGGTGACCATTGCAAAGGTTTTACCAGGAATTCAAGGAAAAGGGGGGTGACCGTTACTAACCATATACTGAGAAAGTTTGAGCAAAAGGGAGTGACGACTAGTCACCTATTTTGCTACCCCTTCCCCAGATCACTCCCTTGGTGAGGGAGGCCAGGACAAATATGGTGCCACCTAGACTTCATTTTTCTGTTTAATGGGTGCATATGTAAAGGTAAGTTATAACTAGTCCTTTCGCAGTCCACTTTTATAATTACTTATCTATCTCATATATTAACACAATACTTGGTATCTGGAAGATGTGTTGATTGTACATTGTAAATGGTAATGAATAATTATCGATCATTTGGCATATCCCTTACATGTTTAAAACACAACAGCTACTAGTCATACATAGAAAGTTATAAGGTTAAAATTGGTTCCTTTTAAAATTCTCAGCATAAATGATGCCATTGCATACATACTAGTTGACAAGCAAAATTGTGTATATAATATCTAAGAGGTAATATGTAACAAAATAAGAGGGTCCTGAAAGGAGGAGGAGGGGGAGGAGGCTTAATCCCATTTCTCAGCCCCCATTTTACCAAACCATAGTCCCAGCCTTTGTTTTGCTCAAATCTTAATCCCATTCATTTTTTTTTTTTTTTGTGAATCCCTTTTTCGGTGCATAAAATCCCAATTTCCCAGACCAAAAAAAGCAAATCCCAGCTCTAAAATTTTCAGGACACTCAAATAAAGTCAAGTAAGATACGATGAGATTAAATTTACCCTTTTATCATAACCGTTTCATTAGAAGCACCGACGCAGCTCACACTAATAGTTTTTAGCTAGTTATCTCTTCTTACCTAACTACTACTAATTCCTTACCAATCCATCCTCCCGTCGACTTCGCCGTCATTATTGATAAGACATGGATGGCAGATAGTAAAACTGAAGAGCTAAGAATCACTTTATATATTTCAGATCCGGTTCCTGAATGCCAGCTTATATACCAGGCACATACAGACACAGCTCACGATTACAAAACCCGACAAAACGTACCTTGAATTCCATGTGAATATTTTTGCAACAAATGGATGATTTTTTATCCAACGTGATGAAAAAAGGGGGAAAAAAACAATATAAAAAGAAAGAAAACAACAAATGGAAGAGAAAAATAGGTAAGTGGCAGGCGCTACTCTTTTGTCCAGTCTTTGCTCATCCACCAATCACCACAGGATGCCCATACATTTATGACAAAGAAGCGCGTACACGCATCTCAGTTGAATTAGAATTCGTCACCATCTTGTTAAATTCAGCGTCAAAAAAGTGATTAGTGAATTTTATTTAAAAATTAAAGGCCTTAGTTAAGGTAGTCACACTGTAAAACTCAACAATATTATATCTATATATGTACAACTGTTATTTTGGTAGGATCGTGGTGTATATATAGGTTAACGCCTCTTTCATCTTTGCCTTGTAATGTTTTCCCGTTTAAGACCATGTGTCTTTCCCCATAGTATCMTTTCTTTGTTTAATGTTGCGCATGAATACACTGAATGGATAGGAGTCAAATATAGAATCTTATCCTCTAGGGAATGACACATAGTCTGATGTAATCCTGAAGGTAACAAAAATAAACTTGTTTTTTTGTAGATGTTTTGATAAACACCAGAAATCAATGCTGATAGGGCAATCAGCCCAACCAGACGATAGCGTAAAAGATAGCCGACAGGAAAGTATACTGATATGTATATTACTAATCAGGCCCCAGTTTGTGCAAAAATACATAATAGTCTATGTTTTCTTAATTCAGCGTGACAAACTCGAAAAATTCATGAGTATCCCAAAGGATACGAAAGGAAATATGATTGTCTCGTTCAATTGGGAATACATTGTCACACCACAAATAGAGGATATTACATGGGCGCGCGGAGATACGAAATTTATCTTCGAGTGTTGAAAAGATCTCTCACAAGTGAGCGCAGCGAACGAGTGAGAGATTTTCAACACGAGAAGATAAATTTCGTATCTCCAAGCGCCCATGTAATATTCTGTTTATTATATAATTATCAATGAAAGTATGTTTTGGCTTTTTTCAGGCAATTCTTTCCGTGTATTTTTGAATAGCCATCGCAATGGTGTTATTTCACACGTGAAAATAACATGCTATTTTCACGTGTGAAGATATCAATTTTTCGAAATAGAGAAACTAGATATTTCATTGGTAATTATATAATAAACCTATTTATTATATAATTACCAATGAAATATCTATTTTTCTCTATTTCGAAAACTCGATATCTTCACACGTGAAAATAACACCATTGCGATGGCTATTCAAAAATACACGGAAAGAATTGCCTGAAAAAGCCAAAACATACTTCATCGATAATTATATAATAAACAGAATATTACATGGCTGCTTGGAGATACGAATTTTATCTTCTCGTGTTGAAAATCTCTCACTCGTTCGCTGCGCTCACTCGTAAGAGATCTTTTCAACACTCGAAGATAAATTTCGTATCTCCGCGCGCCCATGTAATATYCTCTATTTATTTCATAATCAAATCTTTGAATTTTTCCCGGAATATTTAAGGTTAATTTGAATGCCAATCTGCCTTTTAGCACTGGCTCGAAAATTCCACTGCACGCTCATTTGGAAATTGGATCACCTTAATGTTAAGTGTTCTCGTTATAATATACAATCTCATTAGGATAATGAAAGCATTGAGAGCAATGGCGTGTAATGATGCTGATCTCGTGTCAGGGGACCTCACATGAACATAATCTACCATCACGTGACGATATATAAGACGAAATATACCCTAAATACATATGTACACACATTAATAATACATACTTTAGCACTTATACCTTATATAAATAGATGCTTATTTTATGAAAACAAGCACAAGAGTGTTTATGTTCGATGGAACTGATTATGTAACTTACACCATGATTGGCGTGCTTTTAGTTTAGTCTAGCTTGTATACGGTTCTACCACCGGCGATGAATCCATGTGATAACGGCCAACAAAATTGACCAATTATCAGTCAACTCCATCTGTCATGTCCCGATATAAGCGTCCTGTAATGAATCTTCAACTGATAATGAGTTTGTTCCGACATGTCATTGATATGACGCTTGGCACGATGCACAGTTCAACAAATGAAAATCAGTGTCTGATACAGGTTGTCTGGTAAGTTTTGACTCGAGGAAGACCACAGGCCATAGTAATGTCAGAATGTTTCAGGAATATCATGACAACTTATCAAGGAATTCAATGCTGATAGATGATAAGAATGGAATATTTTTGGAAACGTATTGTTAACAACAGGACATCTTGTTGTGATGGGATTCAGGCAATAAACAGGACAACGTGCAGAACGTGCACATCACGCGCCACTCGATAGAAAGCATTGATTAGGTTAGCCAAGATCAAGTCTCTCCTTGATAGAGCGTGACATGGTTTAAGCATACAACTCTTAAAGCCGCCCTTTTATATATATTAGATAAACGAAAATATGACCTAAAAGTAAATATAAACTAACCGGCTTCGTGGTCATGTTACTCAAATACAGGAATATACAATAAAGTGTTTAGGCTCTGCTTCCTGCAGGAAATTAATACGGTACTGAATTTAGTTGTGAAAATAAAATGTAAAAAGAAATAAAAACTATAAAAATCACAAGCTGAAGATCGATTTGAACTATAACGTTTTGATATGGTTGTATACCAGTCTGGGATAAGGTTTTCTTTCATTAAAGTCTCTGTGGCCACGGAATAAGGCGGTCTCTACCGACTTTGTCTTTCAGTTCTATGCATATTAATTTTCTAGATTACATGCAGCTGTTCTGGAAGTTACCGTACTACGCTGTCCAGGCTAATCCTGTCTGGCCTCCACCTCTGGACGGACATAAAACATTCGCTTCAAATGAGGCGCTCTTCATTGAAATACTTTGTCCTCGGGCTATTAGCAATGCGCTTATTAGATTGAAACATCTTTTAGCAGGCTGTAAAGTTTTTAACGATAGAAAATTAGTAGAGATGAACCCTACATAGAACCATGACACTACTACAGACGGTAATATAAGGTTCTAATGGTGTTGATATGTGTGTTAGTAAATTTGCTTGAACAATAGCAAGCTATGCTGTTATACTGATTGAACACAGGCTTTATCCTGGAGAGATAAACTAGGCAGTTTAACGTGATCCCCAAATGTTATTTTGCTATTCTGTTGAGTGGCAGAAACCACTTTCATCTATAAACACAACGACTGTGTTTCTGCACTAAAAACATTGATGCATTTTTCAAGAGTTTGTGTATTCTAGACAAACTTAACCAAAGCAATACAGAGATGATGCACCACAATCGTAAGTATCGGTGAAAAGTTTCTTGACAATAAATAGTGGTTTGGCTGTTGACTGGTTGACCTCTCGATAAGGAACGCGCCATATTGACGATATGACGCACGACTGCGTTGATAAATAAGTCCGTGATAGGTACTCAAAGACTATATCAGATGCTTACTTTACCGTGAATCCAACACGCTTTTATCTGGCGACAACTTGTGAGGTTAAGAGCTGAAGTTATGGACGTCTCATCACCCAAGTTGCTCAATGAGCAAAAGAAGACCAAGAAAAAAAACAAGCGTCGAGGTCCTCGTTTAACGGGAGTCAGCAAACAGCGACGTCTTGCCAACGCACGCGAAAGATCCCGCGTTCACACGCTGAACGCCAATATTGACCGACTTAAAGACATCATTCCCTTGTTCCCGGATGAAAAACCATCCAAGACTGAAACCATCAGGATAGCAGCGTTGTACATCTCGCATATGACGGAGCTGCTTAATACCACAGAGAAAACATCTACGTTGGACTTCGAGAGCACATTCGATGAATTAACTTTTCCAACCTTCAATTTTGACCCTTTTGCTGATCCCGGAGGTAATCATCTAAAGTACATGTATTTACAATGCTTTTATTTAAACACTAGCGACGAATCGTCTGAGACAAACTAACTAGCAAGTCAGGAAGCGAGTTAGGAAGCGAGTTAGGAATCGAGTTAGGAAGCGAATTAGGAAATCATACATTCTAGCCAAGATTGTCTTAAGGTGACTAGCTACTTTATCAAGCAATCATTACAAAATGTTCTTATAGAAAGATATTTTATAGAGARTTTAACGCTGATTTCAAAAATGAAAAGAAAAATTGGCTGTCCTGAGCTTGTTTTCAAGATAATGAATTTTGAATACGGCCATCTTGACATGTTTTGAAAAGAAAATTGCCTGCGGAAATCAACCTTTTCACAAAACAATTCATAACTCACAAATTAAAAACTCAGAACATCTACTTTAAACACTATTTTCTAAGAACTAACTAACATAGGGGTACTGGGAAGGCTTAGCACTTGCATTGATCTTGAAAAATGCACTTGCGTCCTCATGGATTTCAGTGTCCTTTTTTTTGCGACACAAGTGTGCTTGCCATAATGGTATATGGTGACATAACTCTCCTGGAACTCCCATACTTTCTTTGCTGTACAGTCTACTTTCAATGCCTTGTAACCACAACAGGAACATGTGATATGATTTGTACCTTGGCTTTGGAAGTTCACCTTGTTGGGTTTAAAATAAGAATGTATATATGGGCACCTGGTATTGTTACACTGATGTGTCCCAGAGCAAGTTGCAAGTCTGCGTACACCATTGAAGCCTGCTCTACTTGATGAGACCCATTTCTTCCAAGGTCTCCCATCTTGGCTGCTTTTCATAAGCGCGTCTTTGTCATACTTCATCCTATAAGAACAAGTACCATCGATGTCGAATGGCAACACCTCGACTTCTGTTTTCTCATAACCTACCCAAAGGGAAGGGGACAGCTTTCTTCGCTTCCTGAAATGAATAACAGAAATCAGTGCTGTCAGCCTTTTCATTTTTTGTTTTGTTTTGTTTTGTTTTGTTTTGCTTTGTGGTTCTCTTTTGGGATATCAGTCTGGCTCTAATATTTGATTTACTTCATGTAAAGAGGGGATGGGTTGTTTTTGCAAATGCGTTGAAACTAATACTCACATGTCTACAGGGACATATACACTAGTAGTCTTCAATCCTCTACAAAACAATGAAAATGAATTATAGTACTTTATGAAACAAGCAATAGTTGTCATTAAAGATTTAAATAAATTAATAAACATTCAATCAATGTAATTTAGCAGCACAGTAATCCAAGTGATTGAGATAGTTTTATAGATCCTTCAATAATCTTTTCTTCAAACATTGTCTATGCTTCATAGGAGAAACTCAAAAATGAAATACGAGGACAAACAAAGAACAATATTGCATATTGCAAGATATCGAAACAAAAAAATGTCAAGCAAAATATATCCCTCATTCATGACCATCTATGTAAAATGTGAGCATTGAAACATTTTCCCATCAAAAAGGATGCATTTGTCTATCTGTATTAATTACATGACAATTTTTTCATTTTAAATGTAGAATAAAACCAGGGGCACACCGTTCCAACAAATGAGATTTTGTGCCAAGAATCTTCAATTTCTGAGTTTGGATTGTGTTTATGACAGAAATAGAGCTAAGTGCAAGAAATCTTTAGGTAGGAGATATAATCAACAAGCAACTTTATTCACATACAATACCAGGCCTGGTTGGACTCCAAACTTGGTTGCAATGGAGAGAAGGGTGTGCTCTCAATGCTACGCCACCTCCTCTTTCCAGTGCCAATAATTGGGTGAAACTTCAAAAACACTTAAAAATGAGAGTGAATATTGAATTTCTCACTTAAAAATGAGAAATACCTCAATTTCATAAACAATAATTGTAATAATAAATCAACCTTTTTCTTGACACAGTTTTGCATTGCTTGCGGCTCATGTGTTTATTTCTGTTGCCAACTGATGAAAAAAATTTCTGGCAATCTAGGCACTGTGTCTGTTTATCAGCTGGTGAGGTGAATTATCTTTGTTAGTCAATATCAAGAAATATTTTCAAAGTGAAACATATGAAATAGTTATTTACAGATGTATCTTACCTGGTGCTTCACTGTCAGAACTTGATGCATCTGTACAAACAATATATCAATATATGTGATCTCACCACATATAGGAATTTACCAATGGAATTGCAATAAATATTTATTCAATGTTTGTTGCGACGGAAGGGGTTGTTTTGGACATAATAAATTGAAAATAAACATATTGCACATTTCAATTTTACAAACAGGTTAGTAACTTACAATCAATATCCTCTTCTTCTGATTCTGATTCAGATTGATCTGATTCTGGTAGAGATCCATACATGTCATCTGACAATAAAATACAAATATACAAGATTAGCTGTATGCAATTATTTTTCTTTATTAAAGGGAACATTTTCTACTGTCTGTTGTGCTTTTTTTCCTTGCCAAAGTTGACCAGCATCAAGAACTTATAATATGCCAGATGTTTTGAAGTTGTATGCATCTCTTACCTTTTTTACTTAGTGAAGTGCTTGAACCACTTTATATGAAAATTAAAAACACCAAAAAAAAAAAAAAAATAAGCCTTGGTTATTTTAGTCAAACCGTATATATATACATTAAAAAATACATACCTTTTCCATTCCACCTTAAGAGGAGATTCTGTACACAAATATTGAAATGTAAAATATTTAGATTGTGTTTTTAGCCATATGTGTAGGTTTAAATAAATAAGTAGTACCAATAAACACCTTTATTTATAAATAAATATTGAAAAGCTTATTGAATGGTACCTGGAATAATAAATGGTTCAACCATTTCTTCACTTTTAGTCTGCCTGAAACATTAAAAAATAAGTGTATGAATATTATTATATGTGAACTAAAGACCAGCTATAAACGTTTATAACATGAATTTCACAAACCGATCATGTTGCTTCGACGGAACCTCTTTGACTGGGGAATCTGAAGAAATACCATACATACACTTTAGTTTTACTGAGCACAGAATATGTTATGCAAAGCAAAGATCAAAATTTATAAATAGGGCAAGGGGGTATGGAGATTTTACAATTTGCAATAACAATTTTTAAGTGTCCCCTACCAAAACGAAAAATTTAAAACACTGCCTTTGATACTACTGCAGAACATGGCTCATTCCCCCAACTCGGGCCCCAACACAAGACATTAAATTAAAAAAGATTCCCTTGTACCTGAAATTATGATGGTCTCTGGCCTATTACTTTGCCTAAAACATAAACAAATACAGTTATAATATAATAAATATTTAAGTAAACGTACAACATCATAATGAATTACTTTTTAAGAAGCCATAAATTTCACAAACCTCTCAACGATAAACGCGTCTTTGATCGGAGAATCTAAGTAACAAAGAATTTACTTTAAATGCTTAACAAGGCAGTTAAAAATAGATCCCGAAAAACACTTACCAGTTAAAACAATACAATAGGGAGGCGAAGCATTTTTCCTGTAAACAAAATAAACTCAATTCAGATTCTTTACACGAGTTCAAAGTTCGAGTCAGTGCCCTTCGCCCTTGAATCAAAAATGCTTAATTTTCACAATCTAAGCTATATTATTGCTTAAATTCGTGTTCGAATGTAACCAGAAATTGTCTTACTTCGACATGCTATGTTGATCTTTCAAGGATGGAATAATTTAGCATGATAAATGAAGGATTATGAATAATGTATTACTTACCRGCTTTCGTCTTCCGACATCGTGTTGAGAAGCAGACAGATCCGTTGTTGAGCCAGCAAACATKTTGTCAGCGAACGAGAAACAGTCGCGTTACACCCATAAAATTAATAATTACCGGCTGATGCAGACGTTTTACTTGCGATTTCTTTTTTTTAATATATATTAAATATTCTGTAAATATTCTGTAATAAAATATCATTCGCTTCCTAACTCGCTTCCTAATTCGCTTCCTAACTCGCTTCCCAACTCGCTTCCTAACTCGCTTCCTAACTCGCTTCCTAACTCGCTTCCTAACTCGCTTCCTAACTCGCTTCCTAACTCGCTTCCTAACTCGCTTCCNTCGCTTCCTAACTCGCTTCCTAACTCGCTTCCTAACTCGCTTCCTAACTCGCTTCCTAACTCGCTTCCTAACTGGAAAGATAGGCATCCTCGTCGAATTTCAGTGATTTGATAACTGTTTGTTTAGTGTAAAGTGTAAAGCGCCTCGGCTATGAAGATAGATCGAAAAAGATAATTGCCAGTTTGCCTGACTCGGCTTATAACTTTTCAAGAAATCAATTTATACATTTAAATATTGTACAACTTCTTTTGACTTGACTTCAAGCATCCTTCCGGCAAATCATCGTATCTCAACTCAAACTCAGTCAACTCTTTCTCTTTTTTCACAGACCTCATTGATCTATTCTGGGGAGACACATAAACGCAACACCTCTGGATTGACTAAGAAGAAGTACGTGGGGTACCTGATAAATTTGGTTAGAACACCATGCTCATATATTTGTAAATATTTAAGTCTTAGCAGACACCGCGAGCGGATGTCTTGTCGTTAATTTTAAAACGATGTAGAGTAGGCAACTGGACTGGCTTGAGAAATTGAAAAAAATTGTCATCGTGGCAAGGGCTAAAGACCATTTTTATTTAAACACCAAAGAAAAAAGAAAAAAGTATAAAAAGTATGAATGAGTAAATGCAAAGTAATTGATGCATAAAGTCAGTTATTTCTGAATGTTTTATTTAATTTTATAGCTTTTATATTGATTATTTTTGTACTATGAAATGTGAATGATACAAAATAAACAAAATTTTAACACGTAAATCACGTCTTGTAAATGAGTACTCTTCCTTTTGGTTCTCTCCGGTGCTTCGAGCTTTTTTCTGTTGGTTCTTCAGTTTTCAATGTCTAATTCTTGTGTCAAACACCTAAAGTCAAGCTTCTGGCTCGGGAGACTGGGCAGTCGAATCACTCCTACTCGCAATGCCTGTCGACGACTTCGTGTTGAGGTAACACACGAATTACAGTGTAGTCTTGTACTACAGAATATTGTGCCTTATGTGGTATTGTTTCTACCGAAGCTAAACCAGAATCAGTGAAATGCACTTTAATTTGTCTAGCTGAGAAGACTGTGGAGTTAATTAATTTAGCACCTTTATCTAGATTTACTATTTATCAACGCTGTCTAACAAGGCACAGAAATAGATAAAGAACTCCCCATATACGACACATATTTTCTCCCGCTGGGATTGGGAAGGTCATTATTATTTTGTGTGTGTGCGTGTGTGCGTGCCAATGGCCCCAAATTTACAAAAATTAAGGGCCATTTTTGCAGACTTTGGGCCGAAGAACAAAAGACATGGGCCATTATAAATCCTTTAAATTGCAGTTGAGGATCTACGCACGGGTGGCTTAGCGATGAGATCGCTCGCCTCTCGCCAATGCGACCCGGGTTCGAGTCCCGCTGAGCTCGGGTCGTATGTGAGTAGAGTTTTTTGTCCGTTCTCTCCTGTGCTTCGAGGGTTTTCCGTGTTCTCCGGCTTTCCTCCCTCTCCTGTGCTTCGAAAAATCAACTTCCAATTGGAATTACAGTGGATGAATAGCTACTCTGTAGAAATGCCACTGTTAAATCCCATTAATTAATTTATTATTTATTTATTTATTACAATTAATACAAATTATAATTGAATACAGTATAATATTAACAACAATTCTAATTATCCAATGGATAACACTGGTAGTCATCTGCTTATTAATAGCTGCTCATCGGTACAAAACATTGTCCCGAACAGAATAGCTAAACTACATCAGTCTTTATGAGGCGATGCTTTTTCATATGCCACAGCTGTAGTGATCTTCTGAAGTCATGCTTCTGGATCCCCTTTCCAAGGATCCTTACTATTATCTGTTGATTTTCCGTGTTCTTCGACTTCCTTACAGTTCGACTGGTCAACATCAGTTTCCCCTTTGTCTCGTCCACCTTCAACATTTTTTTCAGTGCTTGACTCACCTGGAGAGTTTTCTGTGTGTTTGTGTCTAAGGTCAATTTTATTCGTTTTGGTGGCATAGCTAATGTACGCTGTGAGCCGAAACAAGCGAATTATTCGGAGCATATGAAGCAGCAAACAACATTGCGGCTCTGGATGGCGCAGTGGATGATGGGTACTTTGTAATGTTTGAAGTGTGGACTACCTGTAGTACACACCAAAATGGCGGAACCACTAAATACTTTCATAATTCGAACAGTACTGTAATACTCAGTAGTGCATTTGCGAAATTAGAATTATTATGTAGGCGCCAAGCTCCACGCAATGCGACGTCCAAGATTATTCATTTGCGCGCCAATTCTGTTATTTAAGCGCAAATGGCGCAGGGCGCGTGCGGCCCTCCCAATCTCTGCTCCCGAATATACGTTTCGAAGAAAACAAAGTACGGTATAGCCATTACAAGAGAAAAAGACGTTTGTATGGTATACGCTATACCCCCAGACATACAAACGTCTGTAAATTTGTCAATTTTCAACTTGATTTTTCTCGGCCGCTATAACACCTGGCATAATGAATCTTCGTAGGGTTACTAGAGTAAAGGTGCTCTTTCCAGTGCTGGTATTGGTTTTTCTCTCAGTTTAATTTTAACTCATTCAATTTGCGGCCGCCATTTTGGCAAAGGAGGTCTATTCAAACTGGATAGACTGTGTGTTCAGGGATCATACATAAACTCAGTGTATAGCGGCTGCCAGAGGTGCCTTCACATGCTTTAAGTTCGACCCCGCTGAACTGCACTTTGCGGTGCCGATTAGCGACGACAAGCTTTTTAAAAAACATTTTCTTTTCTAATTCCTGATACACGGCCAAATTCAAAACGTAATGCCATGATCAGTCCTTGCAAATACTTCAGTTTTCCGAAAAGATGCATGTAATGTAACTCCCTAACTTGGCATCTTTCAAGCTTACATGGAATACACCAATTTTTTCCCAACAGAGGTTTACGCCCACACCCTCAAAACATCGCCATACTGAGAAATAGATCATCTTGAAACTTAGGTTAGTTAAATGCCAAGCCATTGAATATATACAAACTAAGATCAGTACTCTATTATTAATCTCGTGCTATATATGTATATCGCATAGGTTTGATAGAGACAGAGGTATATTTTGATACGGATAGACCGATAACAAATAGTGAAGAAGAAAAAAATAGACATACAATTAGGCCAATGCAACGGGCCGAAGAAACCCTTTTTTCTTTTGACAAACGAGGTGCATACTATAAGTTGTTATAGATTTGGTATAAACTGACATCATATAAAGACGACATACGGGCCAAAGCGGGCCGCTGCTGGGATGTCCTAGTTAGACCAGAAGATGAACCAGCCCCTACGGCATGGTATCTCGACAATGATCTATGGATCGTAGTCTATCTAACTAGGTTTGGCTGAGTAAGAAAACTAGTCCAACAGTGATAGAAAATGACTAAAACTTTGAAAAGCCTCGGTAAATCTCGAGGCTAGCGCCATTCTTTTCTTTGTACATAAAAATCCCTTTTATTCACTTCGCTATATAGAGTGGTTGCAAAACAGTAAAAATGGCCAGGGGCCAATAGGACTAGATTGGCAATGGAGTAGAGAGACATGCAGAGAGGGTGGTACTATTCAGAGGATGGATGGCACACTGTATCGTAGCTGACGCCTAGCTTGTAAAGACTCATGACCTCAGCACATACATTATACAATAAACTCATGAATATATGATTTAACTAGTTCAATTAAAAGCAAATAACGGTGCGACTTTGTTGTTTTTTGTAGCATGTCTGAAAGGAAAAACTTCCCCGTGCAGGCAGCTTGAACCGCCAATCCATAACATTAACATTTCAGTTGTAGGGTGGAAAAGTTGAATGCCTTACTTTAGTTTTGAGCTTTTGAACTTTCACTCCCACGGATTGAGTGCACTTGTCAATGCTAGACTGTTTCTCCAATTAGAAATTCATAGAGACGTATAACGCCTCGTGGATCCACACTACTTTGACAATGTGCGGTACATGGGGTTAAAGTGAATTCCTAACTTTCTGGGTCTGTGTCTTGTAAGAGTATTATAAGTACATTGTTACTGTTCCACAGCTTTGGAATTCCAGACAAGTTTGACCAAAACGATACCAACGTCAAAAGTACGAAAGTGAAGATGTTATTTTTTTCACCCGAAGAGATAACATCGGTCTAAATATAGCTTAAGTTGACGTAGAAATTGTCTAAGTTGTCGTTGAAATTCCATCAATTGCCCACGAGTTCATGGGCCACTTTTACAAGTAATCACTGGACATTTGCATTGTCAGTACTCTATGTTTTATCCAATAAGCCATATAAGAAATACGCCTTTTCAAAAGAGTGCGACAAATAAATACTAATTAACGATGAAAACTTTTCTCGAGTTCAAATTCCCTAAAACAGGTAAAGCGTGGGTGTCTTAGACCCTGCAGAATACCTTCCAAAGAATACATTGTCATGAGTAGGAGCACTTTGCCAATTATCTAACTTAATTGAACAGTTTTGTCTCAAGCGGGATAGAAAAGAAGTAGCTCCAAGATGATATACATCGATGTCATCTTCAGTAAATTGATTTTAATTGAGGTTTTCAGTAAACAATGATGTCTATCCAAGTGGTAGGCAAGTAGTTAATCGTGCAGTCAAACTGAGGACAGTAGGATGTATGGCACGTTCCGAAATATGACCATGGGTCAACTTTAAACCTACATCAAAGGAAAGCGATTCAATGATGCCTGTTAAATGGCTAAGCACAGATTAAAGCAATTTAGAGCAAAATATATCACTTCCGCTAACGAATCTGGAGTAACATGCATAAATCTGAAAGGAAGTAATGGATTAAAGGACGCTAAATGGGTATGGAATCAAGATGATTCAGTTGCACGGAAGAAGTTTTCCACCGGTTGGACCGTGTTAATACCTGCCAGACTTCATCAATGGCTTCTCTGTTTTAAGTTTAGTATATGAATTCCATTCACGGTTCATTGCCAATTGGAAAAGCATCAATCAAAGTGATGGCCATTGATGTCCATTTTAGGTACATTCTACACGCAAACAGCCAGTAGCTATTCCTGCGAAAATACAACCGTTGGGTGGCAATTGCTACAAGCTTATGAGTCTTGGACATCAGTAAATCACATAGAAAGTGCAAAACTGTTTGCAATTGCTGCCCGATATAGATTACACTCTCGCAACTATAACTACATTAACCGTATCGTAATTGAGGTGATTCTAAGGATTGGCAGTAAGCGAGCCGTCAGTGATATGAAATGTAAACTATTGGGTTGCAAATGACGGCTTGGCCGACCTCCGACTTTAAACGACGACACAGGCAAGCGTCTAGTAAAGCAATCACACTTTCCTCTTAAGACGCCTGAAAAATTTATGGCATCCTTAAACAAATTAATGTTCGATCCATTTATTACAAGTGACTATCGATAATAATTTACTGATTACGACTTAAAACAGATCCATTCCTTCCTCCCTCCAATGACAACCACCCACGTTTCCAGGCGTCCTCCATTGTCGTGCCTATTATCAGATGATTTCACYCCTGTTAAACCCATCACATGCCAATGACCCCATTCATTATTCACCAAACAACAAGTGTTATTGCTCCCGAAACAGTCCTACACAAGAAGGGAGAGGAAAACTGACCTGATCATATAATTTATTTCGACAATGTACTTCAGATAAAACCGTAGAGTTTTAATTAAGCTTTAACAGCTTTGGTCTAAAGGTGAAATGCTATCTTGATGAGGTCCTTGCGATGAGCGAGTAAAATATCATGAAATGTGGAGTATCGTCATCTTAACCAACACCAGGAATGATGGTTGGAATATAACCTGTGCTGTAGATCTCAAGTCTTGGCAGTGGAATAGCTGTAATTCCTCGAAAACTCAAACTTCAGCCATTGCAACATTGGAATTAACGTGCTTTATTTGAGTTTGCATGGAAGTTTGAAAAGAAATGTGGTTAACACTATTGAACTGACGTCACCAAAGCAAGTTTTGGGAAATTAAGAAATACATTCGCACCATTATCAATAAACATTCTATGGAAATCAAACGTGGTTTGCCTGCCTGCAAGGCGAATAGTTGTAAAATATAAGTCAGTTCAAAGCAAACGTTTTGAAAGCAGCCACACCTTTGGCGAAAGACCTTGAAAAAAGTTCCTTAAAAAAAGCGACAGATCGTGTTGAGAATGTTAAGTAATGGGGTCTGGAACCATATGGCGTGCACTGACAGAAAAAAGGACATTCCAATAGATTTATCTTAACACGTCAATTATATGCGAAAAATCGTTATGTAAATATACCATCAATTTAGACAGAGAAGAAATTCACTTTCCAAGTGTTTTCTAATAATTGCTTCTTCGGAAGTGTTTAAGATGCTTAATGTTGAGCATATTTAGGTTTAACGAGACGTTTAATCATCTTTTAAAATGCTGCACAGTCAAGGCTGATCACTTCAATATGTAAACATGTTGTTATTCAAACCTTCACTAAGATCCTTACAACAACAGGTAGAATTCATGGATGTTTTCTTAAATGTGGAATGAATCGCGAGTATGATGTCGAGTGAAGTGAATGCGAGAGTTTGTGATGGGCTGGTTGGCAAGGACGGATGTGAAACTTCTGTAGACAAGTGTAGGCTGTTTATAAATCTTGGTGACTGAAATCAATAATCACCAAATCCACAAAGGCACGCACACAGATATCAAACCCTGGTAAGTCTAAAAAGCTTGCTGTATTTCGAAGACAAGGCAGGAAACTGCTAGAACAAGCTACCTCAATTACTCCTTTTGGAAGGGGTATACAGATCGATTAAGGCATATTGAGTTTCAAGTCTTGTTATATGCTATGTTTTTATGTGCTGTCAAAAGGAAATATCAAAGTACTTCACAAACAAATTCAATTGTACCACACGTCTAAAGTGAACAATAAAAATTCAATCAAAAAAGTCTGGAGCGACACATATCGATATTATAGGCAAACTCCTAAGAGTTCCAAACAGTGCATACTTATAACGTGGGCTACGATATTGTCATATCAGAATTGGCTCAGTTCTAATGCATAAAACAGAAGGTGTTGTTTTCAACTTTTCAGCCACTTTAAAGATAGCTGATAAAGTCTGGCTTTGATATAAACATCAATTGACGCTTGTGAGAGAGACAGCGATACCAAATCCTCCTATTGTCATCACTGTCCGACATATCGTAAGGTTGATCAAGTGTGGCGACTTAGCTAGGTGTTTAACCTTTTGTGAGTGTCTTTGAGCAGCACACGAGCACCTAACGTTCAAGGAGTCAAGACAACTTCAGATGGATTCCATGAACAGCAAAGGAAAAGCTCTACCACAAACTAAAGGAAAGAAGAAAATGAAGAGAAGAGGACCAAGGTTGACAGGCGTTAGTAGGCAAAGACGTCTAGCTAATGCCAGGGAGCGAAATAGGGTGCAAATCCTAAATGCTAAGATTGATGCATTGCGGGATCTCATACCACTTTTCCCAGACGAGAAGAAACCTTCCAAAACTGACACAGTCAGACTTGCTGCAGAATATATTGGTCACCTCACAGATATACTAGAAACCACCAAGAAACCTTCTTCCTTGAGCGATTCTTCTGCAAGTTCAAGCATTGATGACTTTGATTTCGATGACTTTACAACCGAGTTCGACTTTTCTGACTTAGCTCAAGATGATCCGTTCCCTGAAATCGCTGGTAAGTGGTAAAAAATTTACCAAAAAACTTAACTATCACCAAATTTAACCTAACTTCAAACTTGCTTCTGCAAAATTATTTATTTTACATTCTCTTGTCAGTAAGATTTGACTTCAAACTTGCTTCTGCAAAATTGTTTATTTTACATTCTCTTGTTAGTAAGATTTGACTTCAAACTTGCTTCTGCAAAATTGTTTATTTTACATTCTCTTGTCAGTAAGACTTTGACTTCAAACTTGCTTCTGCAAAATTATTTATTTTACATTCTCTTGTCAGTAAGATTTGATTTAATTTGACTCTAGCAAAAACTGATTTAAAAACGAATTTCTCAAAAACGAAAGTTCTTGGTCATTTTTTAATAGGAAAAAAAATAGCTTTTTCTTCTTTTTCGCAGATTTTAGTGTAGAAGATTTATTCTGGGACGATACGGGATTTCAGTACTGATCAATGAACGAGATGGGACACAATGGAAGATGGAATTCAAAATTCATCAAATAAATCTTAACATTTACAAGGTGATAACCAGAATATTTCAGGAACGTCTTCATACATTTGTTCCTCTATAAAGACAGCATTTGAACAGAAAACATTAAATAATGTATTGAATTTTAAGTAGCCAAGCAAGTTATTAGAATGGAAATTTTTAGTGTATTTAGGTAATCTTCCACCGAAAAACTGGAAAGGTGGTGTGCAACTTACATGAAGGTATTTAGACATACGTCAAATTTTAACAATTAGATTTAGACCAGTGGATAGGACAATAACCCACACACGAAAAGGCATATTTTCAATTGATAACAACGTATTCTATGAATACACAAGTGAACGTATTCAATCGGTGAAGCTACGTTTTCTGGTTAAAGTGTTCAAGCGGGAACCGGAAAAGCGAATTGAGTCCTGATATTTCGAGGTTCTGTTCCCCAAAGAAGATGTAAAATGGTTCGATATTCTTGGAATTTAGATTTTTTGATTATGAGGCAAATTTTCTTCATTAATAACAAAAGGAGTTGTTTGGGACATTGGAATCCTAAGCATTTGTTTTGATAAAACTGCGTGGTCTTCAGAATTAAAGAGACCATGACATTAGTTTCAAAGCAGGTAGAACTACGACAAGATGAAAATTCAAGAATAGTCGACACAAATAACGAGAAAACAACTAATAGGAATTAAAAATAAAAGACAAGAATAAAAAAACATCGAAGAATACGAAAATTATAAGTATTGCATATTGCAAGCAAAGCACATGCTAGAGTAGTGAACATTTAACAAAAGGGCGATCATTTGTCAATGAGCCAAATCATTGATTACGAAATCTAATAATTAACAACTTAAAGGGGTTAAATTAGGGAGCGTCCATGATTTATTGTTGGTGAGGTTATGGGGATGTTACATTTTTTTAAATAATATTTTGGGGTGCCACCCC